CCTGTAGGAGGGCTTGTCCGACCTACGTAATGCTAGCGCAGGAAGGAGCTTGCAGCACCGAGAGGTGGAAGTGGCCAAGGCACCCGAAGGACATCTGGTGCACCAGAGATATTAGAGGATTCATGCAACGTGGACCAGGGTCTGACGAGACCGGCATTTGATGCACGTGATAGTGATGCTGCGCTGGCTCCTTGCACGTTCAGGATTTTACGTTGCACATGTTTTCTCATGCCTCCGGACCTTCACATGCACATGACAGCACCGGGGTAGCGTGTAATCGTTAATTATTCCGACGGCTACTCGAAGCTGTCTTTTATTGGTGGGGTCTGGACGGTCAGTCCGAGCAGTATGAAGGACACCCTCGAGTTGCCGCGAGCTGCAGTGCAACCCGTACCAATAATCATGTGTGAGCGCAAGCTGCTGTGGATCATGCCACCCGCTTTCGTCAAATTGTTGTATACATTTGACAACGCATCCGCGTTATATGTCAATTTCGTGCGCAGCTGTCGGCTTCTCAGCAGGATCAGGAGCTCCCGCTAGCTTCCATATGCGAGCGGGTGCCCATATTCTTTCTGCTGATGGCGAGGACCACGCTGTAAACTCAGGACTGCTTTGTTTCACGAAGGTCGATGACGCAGATATCATATATCATGCTCGCCCATCGAGAGCAATCATGCGTAGTGTGCGCAATGCAGGGAGAGTGCTGATGGTTCGGATCGGGGATTGCGTATTCGGGGTTTTGCCTTGTGTTCTATTATTCCACGTCGTTCTACACACATGCGCCCCCCAGTACCTAAATTCATGTACCTGGTGTTCGGCGCCCGCTCTCCACGATGATCTCAACTTTACAGTATGGTCAGTGGATTATCGCTCTGTTCCTTGATACGGGCAAGTCGGGCGTGTCTCTCCACACGAGGAATATTCAGCAATAGTCAAAACATAGTTTGGATATTTTTTTGGAGAAGCTATAAAACAATGTTGGGCATTCTCATTATTTTTAATTGCTTCGCGCAAGATCCGCCAGTAGGTGGACATGCCCGATCTAACGCTGGGAAGCATCTGGGAAAGTGGCAGGCGCGGGCCCGATAGTTTTTACACAAGGATCGCGGCCTCGGGAGCGCCGGTCATCTTTTTGTATAATTTCTGGACAAGCGCCGAAGACCCTCTGGAGGCTCCACATTTTGATGTTAAGCTTGTGGAACCAGCAGGTGCCACCCTGAGCCCCCCCCACGGATCCGATTTCGCCCCAGAGAGGGAGGAATTCATTCTGTGCTACGCGCAAGGGAGAGGAAGGCGCAGCCCGCCTTCCGCACCGCTCGGAGGCGGGCGGGCTAATTGTCGACCGCCGACGTAGTGCATCTGGCGCTCCGCTGCACGGTCTGGCCACTGGTCGCTCGCTGCCTGACGATTGTCAAGGCCGGCGCTCGCTCTGGAGAAAGAGGGGCCGAACGAGCGAGAGGGAGAGAGAGAGAGGCTGTGAGCGAGAGCCAGGGAAGAAATACGGTAAGATCGAATGGCCTTCGACCCATCCCGCCACCGTGCCTGGGTTATGGGGATGAAGCCTCTTGAATGTTCGGTGGGATTTCGTGGGCCGCTTCTCGGGGGCCTCTTGGGGGCAGTGTGGACGCCTCTTGGAGGCATCTTGAGGGCCTCTTGGGGGTCTCTTGGGGGCCTCTTGGTGGCCTCTTGGGGCCTCCCGGACGCCTCTCGGGCCTCCTGGGGGCTTCTTTGGGCGGGGGCTCGGATTTTCGGTTCGTGTTCCCTCTTTTGGGCCTTTGTGGGCTTCTTGTGCCGTTATGGGCGCCCCTTGGGCTTCCTTGGGCCTGTTGGGCTGTTTGAGGGCCTTCTTGGAGGCCTCTTGGGGCGGACCCTGGGGGTTTCTAGGCCCGTCTTGGAGCGTCGGGGGGCCGCAGAGGCGAGAACGCCACAAATCTTGCAACACCATGAGGAACATTATTGGTTCTGGCCTCTTGGGAGGCCTCCTGGAGACCTCCTTGGGCGTCGTGGAGGCCTCTTGGGCCGTCTGGGGATCCAACTTGAGCGTCTTGGAGCGATCGCTCGGCGACTCGGTGGGGCGTCCCTGAGCCGTCCTGGGGGCCCCTTGGAGCTCTCCCGGCCCGTCTCGGGGCGCTCGTTGGGCTCGAAGCCGCGGCGGCGAAGCCCCAGGGGAACCGCGCCAAGGCCCGGCGTTCGTTAGGCACGAGCGGGAAGCCGTGGCAAGCCCCAGGGGAACCGCGCCAAGGGCCGGAAGATGTTGCAATGTGAGCTCTGGGCCTCTAACACAACACTCAGGACGGGGAAAAAACACACAGACACAATGAATCGCCGATCCCCAGGATGAGATGGGAAAAGGTGGGGAGTGGGGGGGAAGACGAAGACCGATAACATGTGGGGAAACAGATGGGGAACCCTTGGATTTGTGTGTGTACTTCTTTGTGTGTGTGTCCCTGGGCCCATTTTCAGACACAGCACAGCACTGGGGCGGAAGGCTCGCCGTGCCGTGGCGCCTCCAGTCTCCTGGCTGTATTGCAGAAGCGGCGGCATCACGCCAGTGCGCCCTGCAGATGCCTGGGGTTGCTGCGAGGCCCCGAGGGGCGCGAACGGACGTGGGGGACAGTGAGCATTGATACGAATATGATTCGGGGAAACGTAAAACTCTGCCACAGCACAGGACAACCGACAAGACATGGGAAAATATGGGGAATCCTGGGATTTGTGTGTATTTCTTTGTGTGTCCCTGGGCGCCCTGCAGCGCTTGGGGCTGCTGCGAGGCCCCGAGGGGCGCGAACGGATGTGAGGGACAGTGAGCATTGATACGAATCTGATGTCGGTGCACTGTTGCTAAGGAGTGCGCCCAGGAGGCTGCATACCCTGGAGGATGCCTTATCTGACGAGGGCGGCGATGATATCCATGGCCGAGCCTCGATGGGAGTTCCACTAGTCTCCAGACCCTGGATTCCTGATCTAAGGGTTTCTTATCCAATGCCCCCCACCGTACCACAACGCATCATAACAAGGGGCGGAAGGCTCGCCGTGCCGTGGCGCTTGCAGCCTCCTGGCTAGATTGCAGAAGCGACCGCATCACGCCAGTGAGCACTGCAGATGCCTGGGGCTGCTGCGAGGCCCCGAGGGGCGCGGACGGATGTGAGGGACAGTTCGGGTTGACCCAAAAGGGGGTCCAGCGCCAAGGGGTGGTACAATAGATTTGGTGCAGTAAATTTGTGGGGTTGCAATACGTTTGGGGCGTGCAACACATTCCGGGGCGCAAATGTATTGCTGGATTTTCGCGTGCGATGCATTATTTGGGGAGTGCACCACATTCCGGGGCGCAAATGTATTGCTGGATTTTCGCGTGCGATGCATTACTTGCAATACAATTGCAATACAATTCTCCGGCGCAGTAAATTTGCAATACAATTGCCCTTAATCTATTGCACCACCCTCTTTCAGCTGGACCCCCTCGTGGGTCACACAGCACAGTGAGCATTGATACGAATATGATGTCGGTGGACCTAAGCGCCGTTGTGCTGAACTTCGGATGTGTTTTGTTTCGTGTTGGGAGGGAGGTGCAGGAAAGCAGGTCGAGCAAAACGAAAAGCAAATCGAAAACAAAACAATAATCAGCGTTTAGGTCCAGCCCTGCCACAACACATCATAACAAGGGGGCGGAAGGCCTGCCGTGCCATGACGCTTTCAGTCCTAGCTATGGCAGAAGCGATTGTATCACGCCAGTCAGCCCTGTAGATGCCTGGGTCTGCTGCGAGGCCCCGAGGAGCGCGAACGGACGCGAGGGGGACAGTGAGCCCCTGGATCCCTTATCTAAGGGTTCCTTATCTAATGCCCCCACCGTGCCACAACACTGTCGCTTGCCGGCGAGCACCGGAGCATCCCCAGATCATTGATACGAATATGATGTCGGTGCACGGTTATCGATTTGTTGTCTCGGCTGTGGAAGAAGCGATCGTATCACGCCAATGCCCTGTAGATGCATGGGGTTGTTGCGAGGCCCCGAGGGGCGCGAACGGATGTGAGGGATAGTCTAGGCCTCCTGGATGGGGTCGGAGCAGGTGGGGTCGGAGGATCGCGCCGCATCGCCGATGTGGCTCAATGTGGGTCCCGATTTGCTTCACGTCGACGTCGCCGATGCATCGCCCATGCATCGCCCATGCATCGCCGATGCAATGGCGATGCGGCGCGGTCCTCCGACCCCATCCAGGAGACCTTTAGATAGTGAGCATTGATATGAACATGGTTCGGGGAAGCGTAAGACTCGAGAAAGCCGGAACCCGCGTTTGCCGACGTTTTTTGACGAGCTGGATTCTGACAGTCTGGTGTTCGTGGGATGTCTGCAGCGGGAGTTGGCGTCAAATTTCAGATTGGGCCTCGTCATTTTCTTGATGGCCCCGTCAGGCCAGCCCGAGTCCCCAGACCCGAGTCTCACGTTTTCTCGAATGATGTCGGTACACTGTTGCTTGTTTGTGAAGTCATTGGGTGTGTATCGATGTGTTGTTTTGTCGGGGGCCTTCTGGAAATCGTCTTCGGGGGTGTCTTTGGAGCCTTTTGCAGGCGTTCTGGATATATGATTTTGTTCTTCGGGACAGGCACTATTGAGCCATCTCGGTGGCCTTGGTATCCCTCGTTGGCGGCCCTAGAAGCCTCGCAGAGCGTCAGAGAGCGCAGGGAAAGCGTCGGGCGGCCCACGAAACCTCGGCACACGGCGTGTGGAGAGGGTGGGGGGCAGCATTTGACATTATACCGCGCCCCAGCGTGTCATGTAAGGAAGCAGGGTGGCGTGTGCGTGTGCGTGTGTCGATGTATGAATGTTTTCTTGTCTGTTATTGTTGGATGGACTTGCATTCTCAAGCCCTGTGCTGTATCCAACGTTGCATGTTCCACCCTTGTTTAGCCCCCTCATCGGGACTCTAGCTGGTATATGCAGAGATGCATAGAATGGGTCTGGAGGAGACGAAGGAGCTCCTCATAGCTGACCTCGCACGAGCATGCAGACGGTGCAGTGTTTCGCCACAGGGAACCGGAGCAATCTGCAGAGGTGTCGCGGTTGCGACCCTCGCGTACCGCTGACTCTGTATGTGTTATTTGCGCATAATTGTTGCGATCATGGTTCTTTCTCTTGTTGTAAGGGCAACCAGCGGCCACAAGACTTGACCGCACCCAAACTATCATGCCTGGATGGGTTAACCGTGCGAAGGGGAGCAGAACGCTTCTAGTACACTTCAATGCGTACCCATATGTATATGTATATACAGATATGTGTGCGTGTAGATATGTTGGCGGTGGCTTGGTCGACGGACTGCCAGATGGTCTTATGTGACTTTAGCAGCGTTGTTGCCTCCAGTCACATTCGGATCATTTGTCCAAACGTGCCCGATAAAGTATTGAAGTTGTATGCATTGAGCAGCAATTTGGTATTGATGGCAGCGCGCTGGAAAAAGCGTTTCCCTCCGAACTTTTTCATATTGGACGTCGGGGTGTGCAATGATGGGCCAGTACAGCGATGCGCATGCCCACTTTTTTACACACGTTAGAATTTCCAGCTTCTTACGCAGTCGAAGCATCTGGAGAAAGGTGGGCATGATTAGCAAGCCTCGAGCTCAGCAAGAACAGTGATTGGCAACTACACATATCTGTAGATGTGTGTATGCGTGCCACTAGTGCGCAGCATACTGCAACATAAGCCATATACAATACATCAGTCAAGCTAGACCGACCTGTTAATCGATAACGCGCTGAACGAGTCCACATGTTGAGGGCTGAAGTAGTCTGACGCGTCCTAAGGTTTCATCCTCGATCGCAGTTCGAGTTCATGGAATCCACGCCCAGATGGTCAGGGACAAGTAAAGTAGTATACGTCGTGCCAGTCATGCGGGCACTTACGGCTTGGCCCGACGCTGCACTTGGATTGTTTTGGGGTTGCATGCGGGTGGAGATGAGACGCCCAGTCGCTCGCGAATACCACCCACGTGTCCAATTCCCACCCCTCGGGTCGTTTCCAGTGCAGATCCCTCTACTGCGCAGCGGATGTGTAGGATTCGATCGGAAGCAGTCCGTCCCCCCAGCCCGAGCCAATCTTGAACCATGTATAAGCAGGCTCTAGCCCTAAAAGAGCCAGCGGTCGTGTTGTAAGGTCCTGGCGATTGCTCGCCGAATCTCAATTACATGTGTATAGGCTTGGTCAGTGAATTGCAACGCGCAAGGTTTGAGGCAAGCATCAGTTGCCACCTTACGCGCTGCAGTGGTCATCCTCCCAGGCTTGCCCAAGCGCAGTACATGGTTGGGGATGCCCTGCGGGGGGCGGGGGCTGCGCAGATGGGACGGATATTCCAAATGCTTGGCCCACGGCACCCAATACAGACGTGAAACACACAGTTACGGAGCTTGGATGTTGTGTTGCCGAACGAGTCTCGCGCACATGGGCAGTTTGTGGTGAACAGGTGCAGCAGTGACATTCCATTCTGCTCAGTGGACGTTAATCGGGCTGCTCGAGCCGAGAGGTTGCGCGACAACTTGCAGGACCTCCCGAAGCGGTGGCTCCAGCCACGCAGCGACAGCCAGGAGGACTAGCATCAGCTTTGGTGTTGCTTTCTCCCCTCCCCCTCCTCATCATCCTCCAACTCCTCCAACCCCTCCTCCTCCTCCTCCTCCTCCTCCTCCTCCTCCTCCTCCTCCTCCTCCTCCTCTCTATCGCTCTCTGTCTCTCTCTCTCGCTCTCTCTGTCTCTTCTCTCTCTCTCTCTCTCGTTCTCTCGCGCTCTCTCGCGCGCCTCTGGCTCGCTCTCCTTCCTCGCCGTGACTCTGCTCGTTCACCACCTCCCCGCCCATCCTCCGCCCTGCGACGGCCCTCGGGGCCGAGTTTTGCATTCGTCTGGGGTCCATTCGGTGGTGGTGTCCCCGATCCCTGGCGGCGCGCGGCGATTCAGATTTGAGCGCCAGCGCGGAAGGAGGATTGAGGGATGAGGAGGCGGTTTAGCCGCGGGTTAAACAGGAGGAGGAGGCGGAGGAGACGGAGGAGCAGTTGTCAGGAAGAGGCACGAGGAGGAACGAGGAGGAACAGGAGACATAAGCGAGGCGCTGTAGACAAACCATTCTTCCAAAGCGGTCTCAACATGCAGTGGAATTGCATAGCAGTTACAGCTTCTTTCGGCATGGAAGGGCCGATCAGGATAGCATCCAGCACGGTTGCATTGCCACGTTTACATCGTATGGGGGACCGCCCCGTAGATTCGCAAGGGCAACCCACCTCATATTTAGGATTTCTACCGTTTGAGTCGAGGGCGACAGCCAGTGCCACTGATGCTCTCTCCTGCTAGGCCTGGTCTAAGCACGAGTACGTCCAGGCTGGTTCTGGCAAGAGGCGGTCAGCAACGGGTGCCTTCTGGCCTCCAGTTGGGGGCTGTCCGATGGATTCGGCTTCAGCGTTGGATCTTTAATGCCTATGCCCATCGTCCAAGAATGTGGTGTCATCGCTGTCGTCCCCGCACGGTGCAAACAAGGGCAACATAGGGACTTTCATCCAGTGACGTTGGCAGCCCATACGAGCCTAATTGATCAAACCAATTGGACAGAAAGGCGGGGTGCCGTCCTGCTGAAACAGGGCGCCAGGCTCGGTATTTGATCTGGCAGACGGCAACTATAGACAACGAGCATGCCTGGCAAAGACCTAGGGTTTCCCTGGTCAGGCATGGTGGTGTTTCACAGGCGCCGTTTGCCATAGGTTGTTGGTTTTCTTGCTGCTAGCCGCAGTACGCATGCTATGGTATTGCCTCGTCTTCTTTTGCAGCCTGAGGACGTTTTCCTCGGCAATGTTCAGGGCGAGGACCGCGCGCACAAAGGGACGACATGCATGCGAAAAGGGGGAAGTTGGTTCTATCGACGGGTCGAGCAAAGCTTTGTCAACGCGGAAGGTATTACGCTGTTCAAGACGCGGATGTGTGTGTATGCGTGTTTGTGTGCCTGTGTGTATTGATCGCGTGGGTGAGGGAGGATGGGTTTTCCATCTCGCAGCGTAGGGGATGGGATCACGTCAGTGCGCGTCGTGGAAGGGGGCTGGAACGGGCCGCCAGCGTGGGCCATTGGTGTGTGGATTGGATGAACGTCTTGGAGCTTTCAGCTGCCAGTTGCACGTCTCAGTGTGCGTGTTCAGGAGGCGCTCTTGCCTCGCATGGTAGTGGACGTAGTATGTGGTTGCAGGTGTTGAGCGTGGAGGTTCGTTCTCGAGGCCATTGCATCACCGTTTGACGTCAAGCAGTCATGCGCGGTCGTGTCTGGCATGCATGGTCTGCAGCATACCTCGCCCAGCTTTGAAAGCAGAGGCCATGTCGCACTCTTGACTTTCCCATGTGCGCCGGAGAAGTAAACTTGTTCTGCGCGCTGCTTTCTCGGATCGGCGCTGTGCACCCTTCCCTAGCGTGCGGCGCGCGCCAGGGGGGCGCCAGAGGCGTCGCCAGGGGGCGCATCGCCGATCCAAGAGATCCGCGCGGAGCTCCGGACGTTTCTGTGTATGCAAGATGTGTCTTCTTCGATTTCAGCTGTGCTGTGAGTGTGATTGCCAGTCGTTCTCGTTTTCCCGCCGCAGTGCAACTATCGCTTCACGTTCCGGCTGGAGGGCGGTGGCTTCTTCCAGACAGGACTCGGGCGGTGCTTCCAGTGCGAAAGCTTGCGAGCGGGACTGAAGAGGAATGGTAGAGATATGGTAGTGGAGAAAGAGAGAGAGATAGAGACAGGAAGGAAGAGAGAGAGAGAGAGAAGAGTGAGAGCGAGAGAGAGAGGAGGAGCTTGGCATCGTTCGAACGTGTGCCGTCTTCCCTCGGCGAGGACCGTCGAGGAGCATCTTGGACCATCTTGCGAAAAAGATGCACACGAAACCGAAGTGTGTACAGTCAATGGACGTCCAAGCGATGGCAAGAAGCGAGAGAGAGAGAGAGAGAGAAAGAGATATATGGTTAATGGTTCGCCACCCAACAGTTCAGGTCACGAAGATCTTTACTGGGGTAGATGATGCCTTTACTCTGCGGTCGATGGACACAGCTCTTCAATTTATTGGGGGCCAGAGCGAATACATATAAGCTCGTTCAACCCCTTGCAGGCCGCAGTGTTTGTTCGCTCGCGGTGTAATAATTCTGCTTGTTGCAAGCAGCCTTGCAAGTCCGCTCGCCTCGCGCAGCCGCACACATGCAACGCCTGCTGGAATTCACGATAACTTGTGACCCATGCTATCTCTCGCTACGGTGACGTCATCTGGCAGGCGGAGGAAAAGTGTGTCTGTGTGTGTGTGAGCATGTGGGCGTGTATGTGTGCATGTATGTGTGAGTGTCGGGCGTTGTGGGAGGCGATATACACGGGTGGGGGGGGGGAAGAAAGGTGCACCTCTTGTGCATCTTAGGGGCCCTGAAAGGGGTCCCCTGAGGCCCGATCGGGGTTCGACAGGTGCACGTTTCTCCCCCCGTTGATCGCCCCACCATTGAGCCATGCCCAAGTGTGTGTGTGTGTCTCTGTGTGTCTCGATGTGTCTCTGTGTGTGCGCGTGTGTCTCTGTGTGTGTGCGCCTGTGTGTGTGCGTGCGTGCGTGCGTGCGTGCGTGAGTGCGAGCGAGCGAGCGAGCGAGACAACGAGCGTTCGGGTGTGCGTGCGTGCGTGTGTGTGTGTGTGTGTGTTTGTGTGCGTGCGTGTGTCTGTGTGTCTGTGTGTGTGTGTGTGTGTGTGTGTCGGGGGGGCAAGGTTATGGGGGGGTGTCGCTCCCCTCGCTCGGCACGGCCGGCGGTGCCTCGCAGTGTGGTTCCCCGCGGCCATCACCACGGTGACCCGCGCGTCGCCGAGCGAACGCTCTCCGAGGAACGTGTTTGTGTGTGTATGTGTTTGTGTGTGTTTGTCCGTGCGTGCGTGCGTGCGTGTGCGTGTGCGTGTGCGTGTGCGTGTGCGTGTGCGTGCGTGTGTGTGTGTGTGTGTGTGTCTGTCTGTGCATGTGTGTCGGGCTGCGGCCCAGGCGTCTTTTTCCTTTGTTTCGCTGGCCGTGAGTGTCGCTTTCGGTCCCGCGTGGGTGGATCCAGCGTCTCCTATCCGATCCTTTCTACGCCGCGACGCCGCGCGCGCTGATGAAGAGTATGTGTGTGTGTGTGGCTGTGTGTGTGTGTGTGTGTGCGCGGGCGGCCCCGGCGTTGCCGCCCCGCCTGCGGGGTCTCCTGCATGCGGGGCGCTCCTCCTCCCTGTGCGTTTCCTCCCCTTTCCCCGCCCGCTGTTCCACCCTCCGCGTGCCGCGATGGCGCCTGGGCTGCTGCCTGCAGCCGCCACACAGGGGGCCCGTGCCGCCCGCCGCCCCATGCTGCATGCTGGCCCAGCATTTCGCTGGATGCTTCCTCGATGCACCTGTGCTTGCCGCGCCTTCCGCGCACCCACCCAGGCTTCGCGCGGCCCGCCAGCCTTACACTTCGTGCTCTTCGGCGGCTTCGTGACGTTTGACTTGCAGTATCCGTTCTGGTACCCGTACGGGACCCCGCCGGCGCTGGAACCCCGGCGCAGCAGACGCCTCTGTCCCCGCTGGCGGGGCTGGCCACGCCAGCTCACTCAGGGCGGCCCTCGCTGTTTCCCCCTGCCCGCGGCCGCCCGCTCAGGCCCTCCCCCCCTCTTGCGTGCTGGCCAATTCGCTACAACGGTGCCCCCGTTTACTTCGCTTTTTTTCCGCCAGCGCAGACGACCACTTCCTTGCCGCCGACGCAAAAAGTGTGTGCGCGGGTTTCCCCCTCGACGGGCCAACGGCGTTCTAGGCAACGGCGATGGCGTGGTTCGCGCTTATCTACAATTCGCTTGGTCGTGCTCGTTCGTCCACTCGCAGATAGGAAGTGTTGGAAAGTGTGGTTCGAGAGTTCCTACATTTTGGCCCTCAACATCACCGTTAAGCAACATCGCCGTTAGTTGGGCCTTTTTTCGATGTTTTTCATGGTTGCGCCTTTCTTCTTGGCATTCAGCTTGCCGGGTCGACCCCGCGCCTCGTGCCCAGGCTGTGTTGGCGCACGATATCACGCGGGGTGAGCCTACCTATCGTGCGCGCGCGGGTTCACGTGGCATCGCTCGGACGCGCGCGTTTCTTTTCGGCGTCTCGGCGAGGTCCATTGAGAAGCATCCTGACACATCGTGCGAACAATCAGCGCACGAAACCGACATTTACACGGGGAATGGACGTCCGAACGATGGCAAGGAGCGCGTGGGTTCATGATGGGTCTTGCGTGCTCGATGTCCCCTGCTTTTGTCGCCCGCCGCACTAGGCGTGCTGGTCGCCTCCGCGGAGACGTTCCAGGGCGGGCTGCCGGTACCCCTCAGGCGGCCCTGCCGCCGTCTGAGCAGGGCCGTCGCGGGTAGCCGGGGAAGGCGGCATCGTCTCTCCCGTGGTCCCCGACGCATTGAAGACATCAGAACGGAGGAATGTTGCAATTGTCGCCTTCTTGGGGAACTTTCAGCGCCCCGAGGCCGTAAGAAAACGAGTCAGGGTGAGCATTTGGTTCTGGGCAAGGGGTTCAGATCTCCGGGGGGCGCGTTGTGAAACAATCACCACGCATCAGAGGAAAAACAATTTCCCATGTCGTTACACTTCCTTCGTTTTCATTGTTCTGGCCTCTTGCAAGGCCCTCGTCGCCACCGGCGGATTCGCCGCGACATTCTGGTCAGACTGCACCCTGGGAGAGGTCCGGGGAATAGCGGCGTCAGTTCTTCTCGGTTTCCCCAAGGGGTCCAGATTTCCAGGGGCCCGCGTTGTGCGACAATCGCCACGTCGGAGTGTGGGCCCATCTTCACTGGGCAGGCTATCCCAGCAACCCCACCAGCCCCCCACCCCACTGGTGGGCTCAGGCACCCCGGAACCCGAAGTCGGCAGCACGCATCCCAAACTAAGGGATCATCCGCCAGTTGGGATTGGGATCGGTGGAACGATGCTCGGGGCGTGGGGTTAACTCAGGAGGGAAAGAAACACACAGACACAATTAATCCTCGATTCCCAGAGAATATGGGAAAATATGGGAAGTGGGGGGGAAGACAGAAACCTAGAAAATATAGGAAAATATGGGGAATGATCTTATTTGTGTGTATTTATTTGTGTGTCCTGGGGCCCCTTCATTAACATACATTCGGGGGGTTTACGCTCAGGGGGAAACGCATCGACTCCCAATCGCCGCCCACCTGTCGCCGATGATCGGGACCTTGTGGCCGCCCAGGGCCGTGTGGCTTCGGTGTCGGGGGCCCGTCTTCGATCGATCGGAGATGTCCCGCCGATCGTTCCCCTCTCAGGGGGTGGTGGGGGGGAAAGGTCCTCTTCCCACCTGGGCTCACTCCATGGCATTCTGGCCCAAGCCGGTTCTAGGGGCGGAGCGCGTCATCTTTGAGCAAGCCCCGAAGCCTTGAGCGCAGGGATCTTCGTGGGAAGAACTGCGTGCGGGAGCTGGCTAGGGGTGAGATGCAGAGGTCCTCTTCCTCTTCCCCCACTGCCGGTCCACCTCCTGACCCAAGTGGAGCAGCACCAGCTGGACAGTCGCTCGGGCACGGGTTGTCAACCACGAGCACCGAGAACGGAGAGACATGCGTCGCAAGCAGCATTTGCTTTCGTGGAAGATACAGAAGTGAACCGAGTTTCGAGAGCGACAAAGGCCCTGAATGCTCTTCGGCGTTCGGAGTTGAAGACAGAAGCGATCTTGTAGTTGCGGCAAAACGTGAGCTTGCCAATTGTGGGGAGCAGTAGAGGGCCGCCAGCATCGCCGACGTTTCATTGCGACGAGCTTTTGGTCGGCAGGCCACAAAGACCAAGGAGGTCATATCACTTTAGGCTTTGGTTGGCAAGTTGCAGGGCGAGCTCACCACCAAGATTGCGGAGCTCACGGCGGCAAGGGCGGAGTTTGAAACAATATACCTGGAGGTTTCTACTGCTCGGGCTGCCGTATTCGCCACCAGTGCAGCAGGCCGTCATGGAGAAGCATCTGACATGTATTAGCAGCAGCACCGTCCGAGTCAGCGCGCGCAGCACGAACCTGGCTTTGCTGTCCATTGGAACCCGTCCCTCAGAGTTGCAGAAGGCTTTCGGTTTGCACAGACGTGCAGCCGCAGATACGACAGCAGCTCAATCAGCACCAGCTACACCAGGACCCGTACACCCATGGGAATGTTTCATCCATGCAGACGGGGTGGTCGCACCCACGGGACAGGAACCAAGTTAGCATTAGTATGATTATCGTCACGCTTCGGATCCAGCGCCCTGCGCTACGCAGTTTTGACGCCGCGCAAGTGTGTAGCGATCACAGCAGATTGATGCAGGACCCGAATCAGATCTCAGACGTGCGCCAGCCGCCCACGTCGAACTACATGTCCAATCCAGGGTGGCAGTTTTTTAAGTCTTAGCTCGTCTAGGCCCTGCGATTCCAGTGCTTTGCCAAGATGTGACAAAGGGGATGGTTGCGCGTTAGCTTTGCTATGCCCGGCGTCGCCTCGAACTTGTCAACGTCCATGAGTGCGGATGGTGGCCTTGTACTGTAATCTCGGGCCGAACGAAAGGGGGGATGGGGAAAGCAGGGGTTACGACATCTGCTGCATGCAGGTGGTTTCGGCCCCGCCGCCGGGCCCATTCTTCTATACATGGGCGCCTCCCGGCGCCGGGAGGCGCTGGGAAAATTAGCTGCGTGAGCTGGTTCTCTACCGTACGCTTTGCTATCCCCCCTTGTCGTTCCCCCCGATTTTCCTTAGCCACTGATTTGCGAGGATTGCACGATCAAGGAGGAGCGTCTCGTGTTGGGACCAGCACAGCATACATACAGTGTCGGCAACTGCCAGACCCCGGTGCGGATATTCTAGACGGGTGGGAGGCGTCGGACCGTGACGTTCGCCACTCTCCACTGCAGCTGGTGGCCTCGGCTGCACGACTTTCTACATCGGTCTAAGCATGGTGCAGTTAGTACCCTCCCCCCGGATTATGATGTTCCAGCCGAGGATAGCCTTGATCACCAGAGCGAATTTCGAGCACCAGGAAAGCACCGAAATTTTAGGGGTGTTCGCGCGTCCGGGTCGGGCCCTGGGAAGCGGCACTCGCTCGACACTGTGTCGGCACTTCTCTGGGTGTTCGAAGTGGTTTCCGGGATGTGGTCCTGGAGCGCGATGGGAGCAGCATAACTGTAGGAGCACACGCTTGCAGGCGACGCGCCCCCCGCACGCGTGAATGGGCTGCCGACGGGGTGGAGGCGTTCTTCCTCGCGGCAGCGGCGCGCGGTCAAGGTGACAACGTGAAGACAGGCGGGGGCGTTTTCGTCGGGACCATGGATGCAGACTTGAAGTCGCACGTTATGATGGAAGGGGCCTTCCGTCGCCGTCGCCGCCCGCGCAGGTCCGAGGCACGGTTCCCTTTTCTTTTTCGGTCTATCTGAAGCAAGGTCAGAAGACGGGAGGTGTCAGTGCCAGCGAGGTCCGAGATATCGGAACATGCATTTCGTGTTGCCGCGTGCCGTCCACGATCGCAGCTGATTGAGTTGCCTCCTCCCATCGGTGGCCGCTGCGTCAGGTCCCCTGGATTGACTCTCGGCCCAGACACTGGTCATCTCCGGTGGAACGCATCGCGGCCCCGAGAGCGGCGGGGTGCATGCCTATTTGGTCGCCAGCGACTGCCCGGCAGCTGTCATGGCCGAGCCGACCAACCTGGCGCCACGTTGAGAAGCGACGTCGAACACCCTGCGAGTTTCGGTGCGAAGAAGTCGAGCGCCCGATTTCATTTGGACGGAGGTCACTCAGCAGGACACCTCGCAACGACTGGGCAAAGGTATGCTACTTCGCGCTAGTCTCGAGCATCTTCGCGGCAAGTGGCGTCGTGGTGTTGAAGAAGAGCTCGCGCCTGTATTCTCGATCGGCGACGCGAGCAGGTTTTGTGGAATGTCACGGGGGCCGATGTATTGGCATCCGAGCGCAGGTGGGGCTTTGGCGACAACGCAGCGCTCGGGGGATGCGCGACAATGCGCACTTCGCGCGTTTCAGACGCGTGTTTATGCTATCCGAACTGCGCATCTGTAGGGGGCAAGAGGCGTGCGCGCGGGCGCGGGGGGCATCTTCGAGTGCGTCTCTCGGAATGGGCGGGGCAGCGAGCTGCGCCCATTCCGCGCGGGGCGCGCGTCGAAGTGGCACATCTCACGGGGCCTCGTTGCGCGCGCGCTCCGCTTCGCAGGAGACGCGCCGGCCGGCTGTCACAAGCTGAAGAGCGCAGGCTTGGACTGTTGCGGTCTCAAACATTTGCCGCGTGGCTGGGGTCGCGCATGGGGGGCCAATCCCGGGTCATTCCTGGGTGGTCTGGGCCGAGGGGGCGGAGCTCATCGCGAGTCAGCGCGGCCCCAGGGCCATCTAGTGCGCCAGGGGGGCATGGCCCAGATTCAACGGGGTGGTTGGGCCAAGATCTGGAGAGGGGCCGATGACGAACCGGGGGTATATCAGGATGGCGTCACTTTCCCTGGATTGACTCTCAGCCCAGACACTGGCCATCTCCGGTGGAACGCATCGCGGCCCCAAGAGCGGCCGGTGCACGCCTATCGCCAGCGACTGCCCGGCAGCTGTCATGGCCGAGCCGACCAATCTGGCGCCACGTCGAGAAGCGACGTCAAAGACCCTGCGAGTTTCGGTGCGAAGAAGTCGAGCGCCCGATTTCATTTGGACGGAGGTCACTCAGCAGGACACCTCGCACCGACTGGGCAAAGGTATGCTACTTCGCGCTAGTCTCGAGCATCTTCGCAGCAAGTGGCGTCGTGGTGTTGAAGAAGAGCTCGCGCCTATATTCTCGATCGGCGACGCGAGCAGGTTTTGTGGAAGGTCACGGGGGCCGATGTGTTGGCATCCGAGCGCAGGTGGGGCTTTGGCGACAACGCAGCGCTCGGGGGATGCGCGACAATGCGCACTTCGCGCGTTTCAGACGCGTGTTTATGCTATCCGAACTGCGCATCTGTAGGGGGCAAGAGGCGTGCGCGCGGGCGCGGGGGGCATCTTCGAGTGCGTCTCTCGGAATGGGCGGGGCAGCGAGCTGCGCCCATTCCGCGCGGGGCGCGCGTCGAAGTGGCACATCTCACGGGGCCTCGTTGCGCGCGCGCTCCGCTTCGCAGGAGACGCGCCGGCCGGCTGTCACAAGCTGAAGAGCGCAGGCTTGGACTGTTGCGGTCTCAAACATTTGCCGCGTGGCTGGGGTCGCGCATGGGGGGCCAATCCCGGGTCATTCCCGGGTGGTCTGGGCCGAGGGGGCGGAGCTCATCGCGAGTCAGCGCGGCCCCAGGGCCAGCTAGTGCGCCAGGGGGGCATGGCCCAGATTCAACGGGGTG